AGTAGTAGTAGTAGTAGTAGTAGTAGTAGTAGTAGTAGTAGTAGTAGAAGTAGTAGTAGTAGTAGTAGAAGTAGTAGTAGCAGTAGTAGTAGTAGTATCAGGAGTAACAGGAATAGTGGTAACAGCAACAGCATCAGAAACAGTGTTAGTGGTGATGGTGCTGGTGGTAGTAATGAGTGGTAGTAGTAATGGTAGTCCTGATGGTGATGGTACTAATAGTAGTAATGGTAGTATTAGTAGTAGTATAGTAGCAGTCGCAGCATTAATAGTAGTAGTCGTAGCATTAATAGTAGTATTCGTAGTATTAATAGTAGTAATCGTAGTATTAGAAGTAGTAGTATTAGAAGTAGTAGTAGTAGTAATAGTAGTAGCAGTAGCAGTAACAATAGTGATAGTAGTAGTAGTAATTATAGTGTTAATATTACAATAAAAATGGTAGAAATGTCAATATTAATAATGATGGCAGCAGCAGTAAACATTGCAGTAAACATTGTATAACATAGCAGTAACAGTGTAATAGTACAAGACAGGAGTAATAATAGAATTAGTATAATAATATATTTAATAGCAAAATATTAATAACAATAAATTAGTAATGGTGCACTACTCGTAGCACTAGTAATAACAGTTGTTGTTGTAGCAGTTTAATAATAAGCCTAGTTGTGATGTTAATAATAATATTGAACAATTTTATCATGATTATAATCTTCAATATAATTAGTAATTGTAAGAATGATATTATTTCATATATTGCATATAACTGCACCAAAAACATACAATAATTTAATTTTATTATGAACTTATCAAGTCCATTTTTATTATTGTTACCTAATCAAGTAATAGTATTTTTGTTTTTATCAATAAAACTTGAACTGCTTTTCTTCTTTTCTTTGTGTAATTTACTTATTATTTTGTTATACATGTAGCATTCTGTGTAGAGCTTTATATATGTACCTTTCAAAATGTTAAACACTTTTTTATCTTGAAAAATAGTATGATTCATTACAGAGTGTATGTTTCTGTTTTTACGAAATTCCTGTTCTTCTTTTTAATAAACATATATTCATATGCAGGATTTTTATTATTAATATAAGAGATACGCGTTAAAATTTGAACAATATTGCACGTTTTGAGAATGCTTGTAAAATGTTTATAAAATACTATTGATTAATTTAAGCAGAATTTTTACAAGAAACAAAGAATCGATGATTAGTGACTTTTAGGTCAAATTAATGATAATTTTCAAATCCTACATTAAGAAAATGTATCATAGAAAAGTCACAAGACTCATCATTGATGAGACCATATGGTAGAATTCATGCACACCACAATCAATATATTTTTATAAAATTAGCAAGCTAAGTTAACCCTTAACACAGTGCATGAGTAGAATTCCCGTATTTCTTAAATTTCTTTTATAGCTTTTGTTCGTACTGTAAATCAATAAATTGTTAGATTATTAATTTCGACGCAATTGTTTTTGTTCTTACTTTCTGTATTCTTAGGTATCTTATATGATAATGAAGATAATGCAAATATAATTTCAAACGTAATGAGCAAGTAACCAACGTAACATCCAAATATTATCAATAAAAATGTAAAATAGAGGTAAAAGGATTCTATAATGGATTCCTCATCATCAATTTCATTATTTTTCCAACACTTTTAGTCACTACAAAAATTGTAACGATAACATGTTTTAATTAAGAATCAACATTAGTTTTAATTTAGTAAAAGAGGGAAAAACTAAGGAAATAAAACATTTTGCCGATCTGTGATCTTATTTTCATGATTCAAATAATAAAATATTTTACTTCTTCTGATACAGTGCTCCCCTCCTCCTCTTTTTCACATCTTCTCATCTTCTATCGCTGGGTTTATTTCGATTTTTCCACTTTAAACGTACGTCCACACACTCGCACTTTCTTCGCGCATCTTTTCTCGAGGAAACTTTATAACATATGTTATTTATATGACTGTAAATTTAAAGTTGATACTTCATATCTCAACTCTCATAAAATAAATTGACTTATTTGGAATAGACAAGTAGAATTATCTCTCCATTTTTAGCAACCGAGATTGAATATTCAATCAAATAATTCATGTTTTCTAATGATGGATAAATAATTATAAAGATAAAGATAAATAATTATATGTGCCGCTAGCATATGGAAAGTTATTTGTTCAACTACATTCGCAAACGTTTAGCTTATAATCTTGCCTTATGATCTATCCACCATATTTACGTTTTTTTAAAAGAAACCGTGCTATAAATATAAAATATATTAATTAAAATATATTACAAAATAAGTTTCAAGTGATATTATGATTATGGTAAGATTTAATGCAATTTATATCGCGTTAAATTTTAGAAAAGAGGATATTTGTACTATTGGATTAAATATTCACTCGATTAAAAATAATTTTTAAAATATGGTTCTTCTCTTCCTACCGTGAATCTCCTCAATAAATCTTCATCGAATTTTTAAACGTTAATGAAACTAAAAAAAGGAACACATTGAAGAAAAAAAAACGCAAGAACGTACGGTTGTTTGTTTCAACAAATAATCTTAATAATATAATATTAATATATAACTGATTTTTTTTTGTTATATGGATATAATGCACATAAAATTGATAACATCTCGCTCACGTAAATCAAATGCTTTCATTATTTCATTTACAATCGTTTGTTTACGGATGATAACGAAAACGAGTTTCAATATTCTTTGTCACTTGTATGTAAAAAAGAAGAAAATTATTTTATAAATTAAGAATATTATTTCTGAAATATTTGATCAATTTACGAATATATACCAAAAACGTTTTGCTTGTCGTAATTATAAAATAAATAACGAACATTTTTTAGTTATTATTGAATTAATCATCAAGTATCTTTTATATACAATATAGTAAACCCGTAGCAGTAATTTCATATTTTATGCATTTCTTTTCTCGATGTATTTTGTTGCCACAAAATTCATTATTGCCGAAAACAAAATTTATACAAAATTCGAACTTTATTCGCAATAACTGTTATATTGAATGCGATACTGCTATGTTTTCCTTCCTTCGATATATGTATATCGATATCGCCGATAACATATTTAAATAATTAAGCGTCTAAAATCCACTACTAAACGATACATATCCATCTTGTCTCTAATTAGCAGCCTCTGATGACTAGTTATCATTAGCTCTCTTCTTCCTTAATATTAGTACTAGCCTGAGCATTATGCGACGATGCTATATTTACTATCGAATATCACGCGTTCGTAAATCAGCAAATCTGCGCGGATTTAACGGATCTCTAAAGTAGAACCGTTTATCTCCACCAACATTTTTCTCGCGTTAATCCGTTATTAATTTAATAATATTGTTATTCAAAGAGAATGGTGCGCACGCGTGCTGTATCATTGGCACGGAAAACTTTTATACATGGTTCGATTATTCGACGGATGAACCATGTGTGTTACCAATTCGTTTCTCATGAATTATTCATACATACCTTGATACGCGATACACGAGATAACCAATTTTATTTGTTCAAGCTACATCCGTATTTACTCCGATACTTTTAATACGCAATACACAATAAACTCTACAAAAGAGAAATACACGGAAATTCGTGTATATACTTGTGCTCCAAAAATGTGGCGCAAGTTCTGACATAAACGTAAAAGAATAATTTTTCGAAAGAGAGATAAAACTTTGGCACAGACATACAAAGAGTCGTTGATAAGCATATTGCTTTTTATTGCACTGTTAAACGAATATCAAAATATGCAGATGGGAATCTTTCGAAAAGTTTTCGACATAAAAAGAGGAGTATTCTGCGCTTGCGGGAGCCGAATAAACGCTTTTACCGTTTTTGTATATGATAAAAGAATCTCCCGACTTCCACACCTCCTTTCAGTATCATTATCGAAAACAAAGTAGTATTATAATTTTATACTTATTAAAAAGAACGTGTTTGCGGGTATATCACAATAATTTTACTATGAAAATAACGAATTTTTTTATTATAATACAGCACTAGAAGATTACCGTATTGCAATGCGATACAATTGCGATCGCGATCTTCTAAAAGACTGCTTAAATAGCGTGAATAAGGGAACTCGGTTACTCTCATTTGTATATCTCGAGCCACAAAAAAACTATAGAAAAGAGAAAGAGAAAAAGAAAGAGGGTGAGGAGACAAAGAAATGAAAAGAAATGAAAACGATTTAGACCATTATTTGTAACTCATGGACCGTGTATCGATTGATACAAGTGCAGTTTATGTGTAGTTGACTACAGATCAAAACAATACTCCACACTATCATGTAGTATCGTGTCCAACCGTTTGTGTGTACCAACTTTTGAAACTTTAAATTTGTCATTTTATCTAAATACGTTACATTATAGCTTGAACAATATTTCTTTGTAAGACACTGTACGTAGACAAGTTTCTGTTCTCGAGCAGGATAAGGCATGCACGGCGACGTTAACTTATGGCTATTCTAAGCGTCGCGAATTCTACCGCATGATAAACTATACTATAAAATACTTGGTTAGGTTGTCACAATATGAAACTTTGTATAGTACTAATCCATTCTGATAAATATGAATCAACGAACCTTTTCTTTTCTCAATTGCATTCCTCGAAAAGAGCATTCTTATTCTCTCACTTTGTAATATATAGATTAAGATCGAACTCTTAAGCATTCTATTCTCCGCAAGTTTAAATCACGTAATTGAATACGAGGCATAGCTTCCTGACAATTACTCTCGAACTCGGCTTCAGCCGTGACTTCGGCATAATTATTATATGCAACGCTAAGTACCGATCCTGACAAACACGACGGGTTTGTGAGTCTTTCGAGACTTTCCGTTCTCAGACTCCACTGTCACGGAGGAGACTTGGGTCCGTTGGATTTATCTGCCATTACTTGCTGCTGCTGCTGTTGCGAAGATGATTGCTGTTGCTGTACTTGTTGTTGTTGCTGCTGCTGCTGATGCTGTTGCTGCTGTTGGTGATGATGTGACGCAGGATCTGTGTTTACTCCGAGTTCGTTGCCTATTAAATTACCACTGCCATTTTTATCCACTACGCCACTCGTATGCACAGGATGAAAATACCGTTCTAAAACAATATATTTTTGTTTTAAGCAAGAAAAGAAATATATCTTACTAATATCGCTATTCAATGCTGGTAAAGATATTGAAATTAGCTTCACCTTCGTCCATGGCGGCTGGTGGCTCGCTGTTCGTCCCAGCGATGATCGGAGCGATCATGTTATAATCGTCTTCCAAATTGATAAATGGCGCGGTATTCCAACGCGGTGGGACATTAGAGACTGACCTTTGAGTGGCTACCGGTCTCGTTACCGACACAGGAGACGAGAATAGAGACAAGTTAGTCGGTGAAATTACTCCAGACATCGAGCTAATGGTCGGATACGTGAAGATTTGCTACAAAAACGAAAGTAGATCACAACAATGATACATATACTTTCAAACAATACTTAGACTAGAATCAAAGAATGAAATGCGAGCGACTGTAATACAATAAAGATGAAATCAAATTCTCGACAAGACGAGAAAGGAATCGTATAAGAAGGCTCATTTTCACTAACCTGTCCGGGTTGTGAGTGAAAATGAGCAAATGTATATTCCCTGCTGGTGGTATGCGGCGTAACGAGAATTCTGGCGGGACTCTTTCGTCCAGCGGATTCGACAGAATTTTGGCAAGCGGAACCGACGAGACCGACTGCTGCCGCGGCGGTCATCTGTTCCTGGTTAGGCCCTAGCTCGGCTGGATCCGTGGGTGACGTGGACGATGTTGGTGGCGAGTTAGCGGTCGTCGCTGCTAGCTCACCCGTCGATCTTATTATCGCCACTGGTCTGGCCATAGGAGCAGGTGGCGGCGGCGGTAACATCGAACTCGGATAATACTGCGGGAACTTTTGTATACCGGTGCGTGATCCGGTTAGCTGCGCCTGAAAGTAATCAGTTACGCATAGCATCCTATTCTCTGTGTATTATTCTAAACTCTTTAACAATACGTCCCTCAAGTTAGAGACGAATTAAACCATCTCCTTTGTTAATTATTGCTGGCAAAGAAAAACCCGCGAAAAACGATTGTATTAAAACCGTATTAAAAGCTTATATGAATTTATTAAGAATCTTATTAGAATCGAATATGCAAATCAATTATAATTTAAATTTGTCATATTTAAATCAAATTAAAATACCCCATCTTATTTAATCTATATATGGATTAAACTGGACCTTGCTTTGTTAAAGTATGCAAAATCAGCCGCACAGACCTAAGAAAATGCAAAGTTAATATGGTTTTAATTTGCCAAATGTGGATTAAATATAGTAATAAATTCAAAATTAATTTGTTAAATATAATCATATAAGTCAAATATAATCATATATAAGTCAAATATAATCATATAAGTCAAATATAATCATATAAGTCAAATTTGTCATATAAGTCAAATTTGTCATATATAAATGTTATTTGATCTTATTAGAATTTTATATAATTTTGTTTTAAATTTAAATTTATACCAATTTATAAATTTAAACAAGATTATATAAAATTTTATTTTTTAAGCGTGCTACTTTATTATAAGAGTGGACTTCACGATATAACTGATACAAAAATTGTGTCGTTCCGAGACAGTATCGTGTCTTCTTGATACCGTTATCTTATAACACTCTTTGTCAAATTTTAATTACGAGAAACAGATCACATCGAATGCCATCTATCGGATACTTTGAGATGCAATATTCTGATTTGATCATATATAATCTTATATGTATATATTATTTTTTTTTAATTTGAATCAAATATTTTACATGTTAAGTTCGACAAATAAAGAAACAAATTTTACCGCAAATATTATTTAAACATTATTTAAACAAAAATACGTTTTAATATATAAGAATCAAATTAAAACCAAAGGGCCTAGCGGAGTAAGCATGTGAAATCGGCCTTTGATCATACAGAGCTGACATTAATGTCACAAGTTAGTACCAATATGATAAAACTTTCCACCAAATATTATTTTAAAAAATCCACTTTTTTAGAAGTTATGCAGGGAGAAAGTAAAATAAAGAAATGTATTTTTTTCGAAAACCACTTGACCGATCTTGATGAAAAAAATATATGTTATGTAGACTAATAAAACTAATTAACAAAAAAAATGTCCAAAATGTTTGCCAAAAAAAGACCAAAAAAAATATTTAAATTTTTTAATATTTTTTTTAGGGTGATATTTTCGAGGTACCCCTTTGAAATTTTTACGAAAATTTCTCTTAAAGTGTCCACTATAACATATATTTTTTTCAATTTTTTTTAAATAGTGGAACATAGTTAAAAATACGAAAATCGTAAGCGTCGCGTCACTCCGGCGCACAGTGCAGTGCCATTCCGCGTTGCGGGTGTTCGAAGTAACTTTACTAGCACATATGTACGTCTGCAATTAGCCTATAATATGTATACTTTTTAATTTTTATAGTTTCCGGAGTTTACCACGTGGAGGTTGCAGTACGGTTTTAAACTCCTTATTGGGGTGCTTTTTTAACGTGAGTCCCCTCGCCTCTCACTATATTTCCGTAAAATCAGGGTGCTTTTTTAACATGAGTCCCCTCGCCTTTCACTACGTTTCCGTAAAATCAGGGTGCTTTTT